TTTGAAATTTTTAGTTAAGCAGATATCATGAATTTAGAACAGTGTGCAATTCTGTTATGTGGCTTAAGAAGATGATGACTGTAAGATTGTCATTGTGTACAAGTCTTCACAATGACAGATGGAAATGTATTAAGAAAGAGCAGTCGTTAATTCTTATTATAAGTAGTTGTTGATTTTGTAATCATTATGCAGGTTTACATTTGTTCGGCGACAATTTAGTTTCCCACCAGTGCAAACTTTTATTTTAGAAGTTTATTAATACAAGTTTTAATTGTTTTGGCTTTATCTTTACTTTAATCATGCCCAATGTTTAATGTCTAGTTGTAACCCAGAACTCGGCGATTCTCTGCACACACGTTGTTGCCTTTCTTCTCTTGACAAGGCACAGGACTGGCGTTGTTGTAAACGAGATGATCGAAGATGTAACTTGGCTCGCAAGCGAACTGATCAAACGAAAACGCTGTGTTCATTTTTCGGTGCCTTTGGAAACGGTTGTCGATTACGCATCACGACTTTTGGGTAACATTCTACTTTCCTTTTTAAACTCTTATAGCGAGTTGGTTCTCCTCGCTTAATTAAATTTACTCGTTGTTTCAAAGCGTTAATTAATCGTTGTTATTGCCTAATTACATACCTATTTGATATTGAGGGGGACAATGATGCCTGAGAGCGTTTCCATTTTAGAGATACGGGTCTAACTCCCAGCCCGGTGAAATTTTTTCTGATTCCCTTAAGCAAAGAAATCACTTCACAGCACTGTGTAATCATGCCAGAGCAGGCAAGGCATGCAGCCATACTGTGTGATGCGGGCCTTTCAACTGCAGTTCTCCTTGACAAACGTGATAAGTAATTAAATATCAGCGCATTATGTAATCCACAAAAAATGTTCAGTTGATGTATCTGATTGTTGGAATCGTTTCTGAAGATGGTTCTATTAACTTGCTAATTCAAATAAGAGGAAATCATTCTAAGTTGGATTCGAGGTACATTAAATCGAGGTGATTTTTAGGAACGATACATTTATAGTATTCGTAATGATTCGTCTATTTCCATATCTCGTTATTCCTACGGAGTTACAAAAGCAGCTCTCCAGTAGCCTTTTTCAATGGTCTCGCTGTTCTTCTTCCAATACGGCAAGCTCTTAGACATCGATTCAAGGAATATGGGCGTCTCTTTCTGTACTCATGTTCCATGCTTATGCAGTCCAGAGTGGTATTTTCCAGGTATTCTGCTGAGCACAATTCCTTTTAGCAGATTTAAGGAAAATACAGAGTATGAGTATGGCTGTTACCCTTTACCTCACAGGATAGTAAACGACTACGGATGATTTGGTCAGCTTCTCACAGACCTTCCTCCGTGTTCAATCTGCAATTTTTCTTATGGTGGTTGTTGGCTTCAACTGATGCATTTCCAGTTCAAAGATGGCATAAATACAAAATGTTACTCAATCTTGTTACTCAGTATTAGCATGTTTATTAAAATGCAACCGATTTTGATATCGCATGACTTCAGGTCCTTCGCTGGTGTTAGTGGATGCACATTCAGATACGGACAGTGGCATCGACTTGTCATTGTATGAAGATGATCATCGAAGCAACGACATGACAAAGTCGGCGTGGCTGAAGCCGATGCTTGCTTTGCCAGATGTTCTAAACTTGGCACATTATGCAAATCAGGTTATTCCTGCTTTCCTCTTGGAATCAGTTATAGGTAGGTTATTTAGTTGTTTTAAATTGAGTGCAGTAATTAAAATTAAGCAAATTGAGATTCATATCACATGCTGGTATCCTTGTTGTGGATTTTCAGGTCGTTCAAGGATTTTTCGTACCAGAATACGTTATAATGTAAGTTGTCTTCGATTCAGGTGCAATTGACACTATGCGCAACTTCGCGCAGTTTTGCAGGTAGCATTGCTGAAAATGCTGTGAAACCCACTTTTGTTTAGTTTCTCGGTAATCAGTATGTTCGAACCCTAGTTTGATGTTGCCGCGCAAGTATAAAATGAATCTTGATTCCTGAAGCATCGTTGTAATGACTGTAGGTATTGCGGTATACAGTAAAATGATTCGAGATGTTCTGCGGGTGCTGAAAATCCATGCAGCCATTGTCTGCCAAAACGGCCTGTAGATATCTAGGAGCAAGGGATGATTCCATATTGGTGTGTTGAACAAGGTATTCTGGAGTGTTTTCTTTCTATGATTGCTTGAAATTTTTTCTCTTTCATCAGAAGTTACTACATATCATTTGCCGACTAATTCTAAGTTCAGAACAGCGTTTCAGGACTATAATGTTATGTTGTTGGCATAAAACACTGCACGTTATTTAGCCATATTGTATTTATCATTTTCCTTGACACCCAACCAAGGTAGATCTCTAATATTTCACCTAAAAGTTTCGCAATCGCTTTGACACTGAAGATGACTGAAATTATTCCAGCGAACTCATTGATGCTTCACGTATCAAGTTTGTCATGCAATTCGGATGTTTCCGTTCTCGAATCTGTTGTATTGCAAGACGCCGCTGCATTGTGTGACATACTGCGATTCGAGTTTACATTCACAACGGTAATTAGACAAGCGAAATTTGCGTTTCACTTAAAACTTTGATTTAGCCTTGCAGTTCGCTGCAAGAGGTTTTGAAAGAAACTGTCAATTTTTTGGTCAGAGACGGGATTCTCCTCCGATTGCCAGAGCAACGTGATTGTCACAAACAAGATGTACAGAAAATCGAGCCTCAGTCCTTTTATTTCTCCTCAGATAATACTGGCAACTCACTCTCAGCGAGCGTTTCGAAAATAAGGTTTAACCCGAAAAGAAGACACCGCTGTCTTGCACTTCTCAGCATTTTATCCAGCGCCCTTCAGCCGGTGATCGAAGCCTACGCATTTTCTCTTTCCTGTTTGCCACAGCTGTTTTCGAAGAAACCGTTTCTGTCGGGTAAGTGTAACGTAAAAATATGTTAATTCAATTGTCTTGTTCTAGAAGCAGAGTTGGCTGTGTGTATTTTGAAATCAGCCATTTCCAGCAGTTCTTTTAAATACGGTAAATGTTTGGTGTTTTATCTTCTGTAGTTCTTATCTTTTCAGAGCAGGTACATATTAAGAGCAAGCGTGTTCTAATTCAGTAGTAGATAAGTGACGGTGGAGGTCAACAGAGTTTGTTCCTGCCGATGATGAAAATTTGCTTGACATTTAGGCGATCGGTCAGTTGAAGCTTTTATAAACGCCTTTGTTTTGTATTACCCATTTCGGGAGCGAAGTTTTTTCTCATTGGGTCTTAGAAATATGACTTTTTCTTGCACTTTGTCAGGATATTGCAGCTCATCTTTAGTGAGGTGTATGCATGTTTTACCCCTGCCTGCTACGTCAATCGGTTGCTAAATGAGCATTTATCTTTTTGTCGATTATTTATTACGTTCTGACAAAGCCTTAAACCAGGATATGCGTTTTTATCAGCTAATTTAAGCTAACAATTATGTCACGGCTTTGCGCTTTGCATGGCTTCTTCCTTTGTTGCATATGCTAGTTAACTGATTAACTTGATGCCTTTTAGCCAACGCTATTGAAATGAGTCGATGATGGTGTTCTTTTAGTGATTCGATGTCTTGTAGATGACTGCTTTTGTTTAAAATCTGATGGTCATGTTTGCCCAAGCGAAAGAGAATAGTTTCTCAAAACAATCGATTCTAAATATACTGTGTCCACATTCTGTATGATTCTGATTCGCATTGTATTTCTGCTGCCTAACTTTTATTTTTCCCACACAGCGTTACATTAATTTTTCTTGATGTGCAGTTTTATTCAACTGCTTTCCCGGCTACAGACAATATGTTTAGAAAGTTCTCTAGTCAGGAGGTTTTATCATGAATAAGAATCACGTCGTTAATATATTCTCAGTTTAAGAGAATGTCTGAGGATGGGTAATGCTCAGTGTTAGGATATGATGTTTCGACTTTCGACGTTCTTCATTTCTACTATCATTGCATTATAAGACTCCACTTCTTGTTTATTTTGTTCTTTGCTATGTCGTATTACGTCTGATTCAGTTTAGGCAGTTCATATTTGAACACACTTAGTCCTGCTGTTGCACTTGCTAGTTGCATTTATAATCAAAGTTAAATTGGCATACTGATTTTCCTTTATTGGTTTGACATTTGTTTATTGTTTTTTAGCTGAAGCAATTAATCTGACAACATTCCAACACACAGTCAAATGGTTGATCGCTGAAAATGTGACTGTTCACAAAGATGGCTTGACTCCTGTTGAGTACTCATTAAGTAGTTCATATTTAAATTCTGAAGCCTTTGAACATTTGAAGAGTAACATTTTTCGATATCTTTGCTAATAGATGCGATTTCTATGATCCGTTATTTTACTTTGAGACAAATACAATATGCTGCTCTGTTATGAGTTCATGCAAATTCTTAATTCGTTACTTTTGAATTTCCGCAGATGCATCCTTGCTGAATCCGTTATTCTGTCCTATCGTTTGTCGTCAGCTCGTTTCGTTATTTTCCTAACAACAGCCTTTTGTTCTTCCGGAAAGCATTGTGCGTAGTACGTAACTGCTCGCGTTTCTTACGCTGTTGCAATATCCGAGCCATGATATTGCGTAGAAGATTGAATCTGGAATTTGAAGTGATGCAATTTTCTCTAAAATATAAACCAGCATCAGACTCATACTGCGATTATGTTTAACACATGGTACTACACGCTTCCGGGAAGTTATTATTTTATTGGATTATTATTTTTATTGATTATCAAAGAAAAATCGTGGAATCCGTTCACTATGTTGCTGCCCTTCCGATAATTGAGGAATTTGATCGAAATATTAAT